CAGTGATGAGAGAATCACTGACTGGCCGCCTCCTGTACGCCCCGCACTGGGATCGAGCCTGAACTTCCTGTGCAGGCGATAAGGCTCCGCCAGCTGAGCCGCGCCGGCCAGGGCTCACCAGTGTCAGTTTCCTGTTGGTCAGCTTGTGTGGAGGTAAACTTCCCCGTGGCTGTCCCGACACTTGTGCTTGTAGCTCGGCCTCGTGGACCTCGCGTCTCTGGAGCCTCGGGAAGCGTGTCCCGGATCAGCTCGGGGCGCCTGCCCGGCGCTCGGGGCAGCGGGGCTGAAGCAGGAGGGAAACGACCAGGAAAACTGGGGTTCTTCTGGCCTTTGCCACTGGGGCCCTGCCTGCCCCCGAGAACAGCCCACCGTGTTCCCTGCCGCTGCGGCCGCGCTTGCTCCTCAGGGAACCCCCATCCGTCCGTCTGGAAACCGTTGCTCCTCCTCCTCCTCCGCCTCCTCCTCTTCCTCCTCTTCTCCTTCCCGCTCTCTTCTCGTTCTCTTTCTTTTTGAGAACGACTCTTTCCTCTAGACCAGCGGTTCTCAACCTTCCTAACGCCGCGACCCTTTAACACAGTTCCTCATGTTGTGGTGACCCCCAGCCATAAAATTATTTTCGTTGCTACTTCATCACTGTAATGTTGCTACTGCTATGAATCGTCATGTAAATACCTGATATGCTGTATGTGTTTTCTGATGGTCGCGACCTACAGGTTGAGAACCGCTACTCTAGAGACTTTGAACACCTCCCTTTTAGGTGAAATCCCAGTAAGGTTCATTTGAATTAACTTAGCTAGGAACCCCTCTCCCCCATGTACCCACTAGAACAGCGGTTCTCAACCTGTGGGTCGCGACCCCTTTGGCAGTCGAACGACGCTTTCACAGGGGTGTCACCTAAGACCATCCTGCATATCAGATGTTTACATTACAATTCATAACAGCAACATTGCAGTTATGAAGTAGCAACGAAAATAATTTTATGGTTGAGTCACAACATGAGGAACTGTTTTAAAGGGCCAGAAGGTTGAGAACCACTGACTACAATCTGAAGTGGTCCTAAGGGCAGAGCACATTCTAAAGCAGCGGTCGCCGGCCAGTGGTCCACGGGGTCCGAAAGGTTGGCGGCTGCTGTTCTAAAGCGTGTGTGTGCGTGTGCGTGTGCGTGTGCAGCTGTGTGTGTGAAGAGCCAGGTAAAAGCTATTTTTAGTTATGTAATTTTATTAACCATTGTCTCCCCAATAAATTTAAATTTTAAGGCTACTTATTTCTTATGGATGTCTTTACTTAGCCCCATGTGGTTAACTCTACAGAAATACAGACATGTGGACAATATCATGTTTGAGAATCACACGGTTGCTGACCGCTTCCTGGACTTCTGGAGGAAGACGGGGAACCAGCACTTCGGGTACTTGTACGGGCGGTACACGGAGCACAAGGACATTCCCCTGGGCATCCGGGCCGAGGTGGCTGCCATTTACGAGCCTCCTCAGGTGGGTCTGCGTTTCCTCGTGAGGCTGTGTGGGCTCTCAGGTGGCAGCTCCTTTGCCCTGTGTCTGTTTCTGCATGCGCGCGCGCGCACACACACACACAGAGACACAGAGACACACATACACAGACACACACATGCATACATACACAGACACACATACACAGACACACATACACACACAGATACACACAGATATACACACACATACACAGACACACACAGACCCACAGAGACACACACACACATACACACACAGATACACAGAGACACACACAGACATACACACACAGACACACACACAGATAGACACAGACACACACAGATACACACAGATACACACAGACACACACAGAGAGACAGAGACACACAGAGAGACAGACACACAGATAGACACACACACAGACACACACACAGACACACACGATACTTACTCTCTGAATTACTGGAGCGGAAGATCGTGGCTCCTAAATACTTCAGTGTGTTTCCCCGATGGACATGGGAGTATCAGGACATTCTCTTCCGTGACAAGTACGTTTGTCAACATAAGTACATTGGACGTTGGCACTGTATTCCTGTCTCACCTGCCATGTGCCCCCAGAGTGTCCGCAGTCCTTCCCTCTCCTCTTACCCCGTGTGTCCCTGGCTCAGCTCCTCCGGGCACCGCGGAAACAGTCACGCGGTCTTCACCCTGCCCCCCCACGGCTCAGAACACGGCCCGGCGTGGCCACTGGTGTGGACTGGAGACAGGATCAGGCTTTTTGGTGGGGGGGAGTGTCCCGAGGGAACCCCCGTTACTACGTGTGAGTTTTTAAGGTTTGGATGTTTGGAGCGAAAATACTGATGTGAGAGAGCAACCTCGGTGCCTCCTGCACGCCCTGTTGGGGATGGAGCCCCACTCCAGGCATGTGCCCTGACTGGGAACCGAACTCACAATCTATTGGTGCAGGGATGATGCCCGGCTAACTCAGCCACCCCGGCCGGGCTGTCACTCTGCTCTGAAGCTACTTGGGCCCTGGCCGGGGTGGCTGAGTTCGTTAGAGTGTCGTCCCGTACACCGAGAGGTTTGATTCCCGGCCAGGCCACGTACTAGGCTGTGGTTTGACCCCTGGTCAAGGTGCATGTGGGAAGGAGACTGATTGATGCTTCTCTCTCACGTGGATGTTTCTCTCCCTTCCCCGCTCTAAACTCAGTAAGCGTCTTCGGGTAAAGGTTTAAAAAATAAGTAATTTAAAAAGAAAAGTAAAGTTACTGGGAAGATCCTTCCAGTCAGTTATGGCTCATGCTCATTGGCTGTGTTCTAGTTTGAGTAGCGAAGGGTTGCTTTTCCATATAGTGGACGTGAGTTCCAGGGAGCAGTGCCCGCTGACACGGGGGCAGTGTACTTGTGTCTGCACTGGATCACTAGCTGTGACAGAAGTAAGATGGACTGGGGGTGGCTAGGGCATGGGATGTTGGAGCACAGCAGACATTGGCAGCTGAGCTGGGTGCTGGTACACGGTGCGCTGTGTAACATTCTGGTGACTTTGCTATATATTTGGGGGGAAAATTGCACATTTCTAACGTCAGACCTGCAAACAAGGCATTTCCTTCTTGTGTGCCCTCCCTCCCCTGCAGGTAGTGCCACCTGTAACAGTTTCTAGTCTAGGTTGCCGAAGTCTGACTGTTCTAATGTAAGCAGACACACGGGCGCTCACTGTCCCCAGCCTTCGGTCCTGTGGGTCTGCTCTCACTGGGCACGCCTGCCCTGGAGAGCGCACCAGGACCGCCTCCCTTCTGCATGAACCAGGGTCTGACGTAGGCGCGTGGCCGTGGCTGGTGCGCAGGCCTGGGCTGCCCACAGTGCCACTGCCTCCCTGGCTGTGCCTGTGAGTAGGTTTGAGTGCAGTCTCCCTCCCTCCCGTTTACTGAGAGCTGCCATGAGGTGCGTGGCCACGCCTTTGTGTGGTTCCCTCACGAGACGAGGTGGCAGCAGAGACCCCCCTAGAAGAGCCTGGTGCCCGTCCCCCTCCCCGCCCCCCCCGGGCACTGGGCCCAGCTCGGTGTGAGGGCGTCTGATGGCGGAGGATCCCCACGTTCCTTTAGAGTGAGACCGAGCAGGAGGTCGGGACAGAACCCTCTGGCGCCCAGACGGCTCCAGCATCCTCGGCCCCCGGGTCCTGGGGGTGCCCCGCGGACCCTGCACCTCCAGCTCGTTAGGCGTAGAAGCTCATGCTGCACGTGGTGCGAGCAGGGTCCTCAGGTTTGTCCTGAGTGTGACTTGGTCTCTGCTCTGAAGGATCAATGGTCCCAGATGGGGATGCCAGCAGCAGGCAGCGCTGTGGCTCTCCAGGTGTGGCCGGTGGGCAGGTGCCGGCAGGGAGCTCGGCTGGGGTGCGCTGAC